GAGGAAAGTTTAAGAAGTGTAATGGGGTTAGACTAGAGTGGATACTGAAACAGATGAAGAATCTGCCCTCATCTGGGTAAACCTCAGCCTGAAAGACAAACCACAGACATTGTCAGTGTGTCTCAGGGTTTCTATAGGCAAACGACATATGAAACAGATGGCTCTCGAAGCTAATCATCTATCACAAATAGGTGTTATATAACACCCAGCAACAGTTCTACATTTCTCCAGCAAGCACGTCCCGTACATTCCCAGGATAACATTTCAATGATCAGTCTCCCATCTTTCCCATCCGCAATGCACAAATGTTAACTAGTCTTCCTTTGCCAACGTACGTTTTTCTCCACCAGATATTACGTTTGAGGACCTATCCTTTCTGATACTTGAATATCTGGCTCATTTCTGTTCACTGCTGTAGGATAGTTCATTGTACAAAATTAGGGTATTTATCCCTTTATTATTCTATTAATAAATGTCTAAGTTGTTTCTACTTCTTGCCACTGCCAACAGTACTGCAATTAACCCACAATACATGTTTCCTTGAGCACAGCATGTGAGTATACACAGGGTATATGTTTAAATAGAGAACTGCTGAATCTTAACTACATTCTGCTTAGTATTACCAAGTTACTTGTACTAAGAAATATTTGCATCAGCATTTTATCAGTAATTCTCTTCTAAATCACGCCAATCCTTAGTTTTTAAGAACTGTTAGCATTTCTGCTGTTAATCTCACTGTGTTGTATTAATTGCATTTTCCTGACCTAGAAAGATGAAGCATCTTACTACTGTAAACACATACATGTCTTTTAGGACTTATTTGTCAAGATCCATGAAAACTGTTTCTCAGATTTCTGCTGAATGACTTCCCCACGCCCATCATAACAAAGCAGCTGATCCCACAACTTGTCACAATAGCTACTAAGCACCACAGCCTCCGATGTCCCAACACCTGTCTTACACCTGCACTCCACGTCTTGCCTCCATCCCTGATAATTTGGTGCTACATGTGCCTTACACCAGTGCCCCATCTCCTCTCAGCACATTTCTTCTCAATATGGGACCAACCTGATCCCAAAAATTCCATCCCAAGATGTTTTTCCCAAAGCCATTTACTTACCGTAATAGTCAAGGCTCTAGCAGAAAACAAATGACACAGTCAAATTGGGTAATTTAGGAAAGTTTCACAAAGGGACTATACAAAGTATGGTCAGGGCTAAGGGAAACCAAGAAAGGATGGTGAAGCATCCCAGGGCTAGCAACAGTGGGGGGACATTGCCACCCCTAGACGCACATGGCAAGGGCAGGAATGGTGACCAAAATCCAGAGAAAGTAGCTGTAGCTGCAGAAAAGCCGCCCGATAAGATCTGCGGCCGCCTTTGGTAAAGAAATTCAGCCTTCGCTTGGCAACCTCGCTGAGAGGAAGCCGGTGACCGAGCGCCCTGCACTCACCCAGCTGCGGGTCTACTCCTGCTTCCTCCCACAGGCCAGATGCAAGGTTCCCTAGAAGAGAAGGACCCGGATTATGTCTCCCTACATCTCTGCCTCCTAGGGCCAGGGGAGGTTGAGCCAGTGAAGGGTGAAACTGGAGAAGCAAAATAAAATCCCCAGCACACCGTACCCCATGTAATCAAATTCCTTCTTCCCTCTAGAACTTTCTGTCTCCATTGGTACTCAAGAGACAGGCATCAGCAACAGTTAATATTGCCTTATATATAGAACATCTTCAAATAGAAATTAAACATCATGGATCTGATTTTTTTAAGGGTCAAAAAAGGTTTTGTTTTTTTTTTCACAAAGAAGGAGATTCAACTAGAATAGAGATGTAAAATGAAAAAGAATAAATTCAATTGTTGCCAATAAAGTGAAAGTTTTCCAGTCACCCAATACTGGAAGCAGTTGGGATGAAGTGGAAAACCTAAAAGGTGGAGAGGCAACAGATTACTTAGTGGATATTAAGGGGTAACATACAAGTTGGTAGGTGGGCACAAGGTGAAATACCTGGAGGACCAGGAACATAAAATAAGGCTTTGGGACAGGGAAAGGACAATGGCTAGTAAAGGCAGTGGGAATAAAAGAAAGAGAAGACCATGTTTCCTGGCGTCATGGTATGGAGATAGGGTAGTAAGGAGCTGTCCCTGAGAAAAGGTCACGGAACATGAAGTCATGGGGAAAATTCATATTTCAGGTAAAGCAAGAAGGAACAGGGGCAGTCCTACAAAAAAGGAGTGCCTGAACTCGTTTTTCTGGGTAGCAGAACAGGAGTGCCAAGATGAAAGAGGGTGGCAATTTATGAGAGATCAACAAGCAACAGCGTTGGATTTGATTGAAAGCATGGATTAGGGTGACTGTCTTGGATGGAACTGGAAACGTGGGAATGGGGGGAGGGGGGAGGTTTTATGAATTTGTCTCCGTCTTCCTTGATAAACATACGTATGAGACAAATTCCCTAACTAACATCTTGTTATATCTCACTGCAGTTGGTTCTCCTCTGAGAAAATTAAAGCAAAGTTTATTAACCCTATTCAGATGTTATTCAATGTGGACATATCTATATCTGTATCTGTAGAGAATATAGTAATTGGCAGATATCCTATTGTTGGATGCTTGAAGGATCTTCTCACCTAATCAGTTTGCCTGCAGACAGGCACATACTTGGTAAGGAAGAGGAAATAAAATGCTCCCTAGGATTTGCAACTTAATAATGCTGACAAATCTTCATGCCCTTCACAAGGAAGTAAGGTTTAGGAAAACAGAGAAACTAGTTCTTAATGAACAGATAAAGGTATTAGAAATAGCAAGATGGTTTCTGAAGGTGTGATTGCCTCTTGAATTTTAATGGATTCCTGGATTCCTGGAACCAATGATGTTGGTGTATATTTAGAAAATTCCCAAAGACATAAGTCAGAAATTACTGACCTGCAAAATTTTCTGATAATTGCTGAGGCTTCTGCGACACTGAATGACATCAGGGTGTCATTTTCAGTCCACACTGAAATTTCTGCACGAGAGTTCATGTCGGCATTATTCACAATAGTAACACAAAACCCAAATGTACATCCACCCATGAATGGATTTTTTTTAAAGTGGTATTTCATACAATGGTGCATAATATAGTCATATAAAGAAATGCACCATTTTATACTACAACATGGATGAACCTTGAGAATATTATACTGGTTGAAAGGAGACTGATAGAAGAGGCCACATTCTGTGCAATCCCATTTATATGAAATATCCAAAATAAACAAATCCATAGAAACAAGAAGTAGATTAGTGGTTTCCAAAGACTGGGGGGAAGAAAGAACTATGTAGGGAGCTTCTCTGGGGAGAAATGAAATTATTCTGGAAAAGATCATGGTGATGGTTGCGCACCTTTGTCACTGGCCTAAAAACCAATGACTTACACATTTTTAAAAGATGAAATTTACACTACAGACATTTCTTGGGATCTACGGGGGACTGATTCAAGGACACCCCAAGGATTCCCAAATACAGGAATGCTCAACTACCTTATATAAAATGGCACATAACCTACATACATTCTCTGTACGCTTTAAATCATCTCTTGATTTCTTATAATACCTAGTACAATGTAAAGGCTACGTAAAGAGTCATAAATACAAAGTAAAATAGTTGCTGGTGTGGGGCTAATTTAAGGATTGTTTTTTGGAACTTTCTGGAATTTTTTCCAAATATTTTCCATCTGGTTGACTGACTCTGTGGGTGCAGAACCCATGGATATGGAGGGCTTGACTGTATGTGAGTGACATCTCTGTTGGAAAGTTGGTCCACAGTACAAACATCCCACACCTGTGGTAGGGGAGATATTGGGCTAGATACCCTGGAAATGCATCTCCCCCCTGACAGCCATGCCACAGGGAACAGTGTCCTCTGGAGAAAAACACTTTCTTTTCTCCACCTTCTTTTCCCCGCTCAAAGTGATTCATTTCTACTAAATCCCAGCTGGATAGAGCAGTGTGGGGGAATGGAAAGTGAGCACAATTTGACACTCTCTCAGAGTCACACCCACAGAGGAAAACACCCCAATCCCCTTCCCCACTCAACGCTCCTGGTGGTCTCTGGATGGAGCCCTAAAAGAGTGTCTGAACCCTAGCCCTAGCCCTAAAAGAGTGTCTGAACCCTCCTAGTGACTGAGGGGCCCACACAGGAGCATTTGGGGGACCCATTCCCACCACCTCACATTTTGTGGGAGGACATTATCTCTTTTGAAAGTTCAGAAGAAACAGGTTCTTTTCATTTAAACACAAGGAGTTATGTCACTAAAAGAACAGAGTCTGTCAACAGACTACCCTGTGGGGAGTGGATACACACACAGCTTCCTGAACCAGCTACCTGCCTGGATACCTCACCTGTGCAGTTCACTAACTTAGAAACCTGGGCTTCTGTTCAGCCACTCTGTGCCCCATTTCTTTCATCGGTGAAATGGGGAAAACAAAGGGATCTGCCTGAATAAGGTGTTAAAAAGGGAAATGAGTGAATACATACCCCCCTCAGTAAAAGTCAACAATTTTTAATATTATTCTGCTATGAGAATGCCATGCCCCTGGAGAGAGTACAGCTCCAGTGATAAGAGACTTAACCATGGCATTCAAAAGAACACTTTTTCCTGCTTTCTTCTCACAGGCATTTGACACTGTTTTCAAGACCACGAATTTGAAGATGGCGTAACGAATAGCAGGCTAACCAAGAAGTGTCATAATTCTAGAGTTCAAACAATTTATTTTTCTGATACATCTTTGTAAAAAATTGGAATACTGCCACCAAAATGGCCCGTTTGGATCCATTGTCCTTCTCACTGAGAGCTGATTACACTGCAGGGAAATGAGCTTCCCACTGACCTTAGAAGTCATTGGCCATCTGGGATTGGCTGCAAGGGGCATGGGGGTCACAGGGAGGACCACAGCCAAGGTCCAGCCTTTAAGGGAAGGCAAATGATGCCTGTTCTGCACCTACTGCTGAGACACTTCACCAGTATCTCTTAAGCTGAGAATTGGAACTATTTTCCTGGTTATACAGAATAATTCTTAAGGAAATGGTCAGGTTGGAGAAGCCCTTTCAGAGCAAAAAATAGAAAATGTAAGCTTTTTAACTGTTGGTGTTAGAAGTGGTCTTAAAGACAATTCAACATATAAGACAAGCAAGATATTTTAAGGGTTATTTCTGGTTGGGCGCCGTAGCTCAGGGCATGTGAAGAAGGTAGAATTTAACTTTATTCTCCTTGGTGCTAGAAAGGCACCTACATGCATTTCATATGAGCCAGTGATCGCAGGTCACAATTTCTTCTGCAGGTGAAAAGGACGCAGGAGAATAAAACAATAATCTTACATTTACCCATAGAGACTTCGTGCTCATGAAGCTGATGGGTAGCCTGGTGAAGACATCAGAAGCTGCTTTACTTGAAATACCAGCTGCTGTGAAGGATGGGAGGCAGCAAGAGAGAGGTATATAGTCCAGACCTGACGATTCACGGCACATCAGCTCACAGGCTGTCTGCCCATCTCTGCTTCCCCCAGGCTCACAGGTAAGTGCTTCCAGCAGCTCTGCTTGACTACATGAATCCTTCCTGAAAATAATAACAATGATGTGTGTTACATCATTTATCTAATTTGTTTTGTCTGATTGTATTTTATTCTTTAGCCAGGGCAAAAGTAAAACAATTTTTCATTTCCTTTAATCTTTAGGTAATTTATTTATTTCCAAAAACCAAATGCTCCCTTAGGAGGAAGTGTGATTGAGGGGGTAGGATGTCCAGTACCCACAGATCCCTCAAGAAAAAAGCATTAGAGGTGCCTCATGAGAGATGGTGGGATGTTACACGTCAATCTTTGTTTTTGATGTGTTATAATGCATTTTCTACCCAGTCTTAGTACAGCCAGTAAGGAAGAAAAGATAAAGATATTCTATTAGTTTTCACAAAAGTTTTCTTTTCCTTTTCCTTTTTTTTTTTTTTTTTTTTTTTTCCACACCACACGGCATGTGGGATCTTAGTTCCTTGCCCAGGGATCGAACCTGCGCCATCCTGCATGGGAAGTGCAGAGTCTTAACCACACTGCCAGGGAAGTCCCCACAAAAGTTTTCTTTAAATACTATTTTGATAGTCTTCTAAATTGTGAAGTATATACACGTGCATTGAAAAAAGCTTTAAAAGGAAGGAAGCTATAGTTTTCAGAATCCCACAACCCACCTATAAGGCACTTTTATGAAAATTTTATTACAGACTAACCTCCCTTTCAGTAAACTCATTATAAATTTTTTTTTTTTTTTTTTTTTTTTTTTTTTGCCACACCACACGGCATGTGGGATCTTAGTTCCTTGCCCAGGGATCGAACCTGCGCCATCCTGCATGGGAAGTGCAGAGTCTTAACCACACTGCCAGGGAAGTCCCCACAAAAGTTTTCTTTAAATACTATTTTGATAGTCTTCTAAATTGTGAAGTATATACACGTGCATTGAAAAAAGCTTTAAAAGGAAGGAAGCTATAGTTTTCAGAATCCCACAACCCACCTATAAGGCACTTTTATGAAAATTTTATTACAGACTAACCTCCCTTTCAGTAAACTCATTATAAAATAAATCTGATGCTTCTCCAGGAGTTCCAGACTACATCAAGCCACCATGAGTTCACTCGGTGAAGGAATCATCCACTTTGCAGTCGACCTGTTCCAACAGATCAGACAATCAGAGAAGGGAAATATCTTCTATTCCCCTTTGAGTATCATGTCCAGCTTAGCCATGACTTCCTTGGGGGCCCGAGAACACACCGCATCAGAAATCCAGAAGGTAGGTCGCAGCTTCCTTTACGTTTACCAGTTTGTCCTGGTTTCTCTGTTGGCTTCTGTGCAGATGATCACAGATCTGGCTGTCCCCAGGGGTAGCACAGGAAGCTGCAAACCTCCCCAGGACTGGGCGGGCCCAGAGCTGTGGGAGCATATGCTCTCCCCTAGCTCTCCGCCCCATCTCTTCCCTGTGCCTAGACTTCCTTTGGGAGCTGGGATGAACCCTACAACTGCCCAGTGACCACACGTGGGGTTTTAAATGGTAGAATTCAGTTAGAAGTGGTGAGTTGACTAAAATCCATGGGAGACATCTTTACATGTTTCCTCAGCAACGAATGAAAAATGAATCAGGATTCTTTGAACTGGCTGGTGTTTTTCACACGCAGGTTGTGTTTTTCAAGGAGCAAATGCTTGCACGGAACATTTCTTTGTTCTTTTTCTTTCTTTCTTTTTGGGTTTTTTCTTTTTTTTTGATTTGGCATTTTGTTTGTTTGGATTCTTTCTTTCCTTCCTTCTTTCTTCCTTCCTTCCTTCCTTCTTTTCTTTCTTTTCTATTTACTCTGGGGTACATAGATCTCTAAAGTCTCCTTGTCTTACTCCCTGTCTCCTCCAGGTCCTGCACGAGAATGAAATTGCAGAGAACACAAGAGGAGGAGGAGCTACAAATGATCCCGTGAGTCACAGAGCATTGGATCTAGAAGGGCATCACATATCCAAGAGGGTTGGAGTTTAAACTGGGAATTTCAGATAAACTGGGAAAAGCCAGTTTTTAGGGGACATCTTAAGCAAAATAGATCGGACAGAGTTGTTTCTCATATCATCTTATGTACTTATTTATTTTATATATTTGTTTTCTTGAAAGAAGAGTAGCATGTTCTTAAGAGCAGGGGTTCTGAAACCCAAAGGAGCTTTTTCCAACTGAAGAATGTTTTTTTTGCCATGCCACGCAGCTGGCAGGATCTCACTTCCCCAGCCAGGGCTTGAACACAGGCCACGGGAATGAAAGCCTGGAATCCTAACCACTAGGCCACCAGAGAACTCAGGACCTTCAAATTGTGCTCTTCTGTTCAGGAATATGGAGAACATGGCAAAATACAACTGCTCTGAGCCACAATTTGACTTCATACAAATTAACTAGGAGCAATAAAAAGTCTGCTACAAGACATGCAACTACATGTAACACAGGACAACAGTGCCTGGATGACAGAAACCCCCATAAACGTTATGTATTATTATTATTATTATTATTTTATTATAGAATAATAATAACTATAGTAATCACAATATGTTGCTAAAATTATATAATTTTAATTAACGCCTAAATTAGATTAAGAGCAATAAGCATATGATCAACTATATTTTGGAAAATGATGGAGTGAGAATTATGGTTGGTAGCCTAAATAGTCCAAAACTCTTAGTTAGCAAGTGGAAGGTTCTGGTTGAGATAAGCATGAGTTGAAAAATTGGCTCTGTCTCCTTGGAGAAGTTTCTTAGTTCTCTGAACTCTCTTGTTTTCGTGTCAATTGAACTAAAGACTTAGAGATGCTGATGTACAGCTGTTAGCAGTGTACCAGAGACACACTGCTCCTACTTCAGAGTGACTGGCATAATGAACAGCCAAAGAGCACAATCAAGGGGTCTTAGAAAGTAATCCCTCCAAGGAGTAAAACAGGGCTTCATGTCATAACATAGGGCAATATACAAATTTCATGTTCTCATACAGTTGATGACTGTTAGAGATGCACTATGGTTCTAGCTCTCAAGGAGTTTAAGTTTTAGCTGGTCCCTAAACATTTGAGACAATTAAAACACAATCCAATAGTGGAATGGTGCTGCACCTCTAGTTCAAAAGAGAAAAGACTGGAGTGTGTTAGAGCAGGAAGGAAGAATTACCTGGAAGATTGAATGTAAGGATTATGAAGGGTATTTCTGGTAAAATACACCATATATGGGGAGATAGCAACAAATGTCATCCCTGGGGATACCAAACTCTAGGAACAGAGCTCACAGACCTATGGGGGTGTAGTATTTACATACAATGAGAGTCCAATGAGCTTACTTTCTGGTGTTTGAAGGTTGAAAAGCCACGAAATATTCATCATCAATTTCAAAACCTTCTGACTGAGTTTAAGAAACCCACTGATGCCTATGAGCTGAACATAGCCAACAGGCTCTATGGAGAAAAGACTGTTCTGTTTCTTCAGGTAAGGTTCATGGCCTGTCACACCTTTGGTCTGCATCCTGGGTCCACTGATCCCATCTCCTAATGGGGGAGGGGGAGGCAGAGGAGCCTGGCTGACTTACATGGGGAGCATTTGCCCTGGGGGCATTCAGCTCCTGTACCACGACGCCCCCCACTAGAGTGTCCCAGAGCCTGACAACCCACCGGGGAAGTGGGCGTAAGGATTGTTTCAGGTACTCTGGTCATTACTGAACACAGTTTAATCTGGGAATACCTACATAGTTACTGATAAATTACTCTTAATCCCTCCTTTCTTCCTGCCCATGTCATAGGCATACATGGATAATGTTAAGGAATTTTACCTAGCCAGCGTGGAATCTGCTGATTTTGTCAATGCTGCAGAAGAAAGTCGGAAGATGATTAATTCCTGGGTGGAAAGCCAAACTAATGGTGGGTTATGAGAGAGTCACTCCTTAAAAATCACTGTAGATTCCCCGCTGTGTGTGAACGCTGTGCTGGACCCTGCATGGGGTGCCAGGAGCCGGGGTGAGATGAGATTGCAGAGGGTGGAGGCGGGCACTGCAGAGGGTGGAATGGTCCACGTCAGTGTGGAGAGAAACAAGGGGAGCCCGGGAGGGATCCCAGGACCAGCTACCTGGAAACTCAGCTGAGTCTGTGGATGACAGTATCTATGCATCCCAACTCTCTGCTCAAACTTCAGGATGATTCGCATTTTTTCTTTAAATTAGAGGCTTAACGTCTGGATGATGATCCCTAAGAGATAATATTAAAAGGGTTCCCTTATCCTTTGTTAACTGGGAAACGAGCCACTCTCCTGCCAACCACCCTTCTTGCCACCTGCAGCAGGAGCTGCCTGACCGCTTCCCCATCCCCGCATCCTGCAGGGATGGCCACAGTCGTCCTCCCCAACCATGGAAGGCGGCTGGATGATGTCTCCATTCTATGAATAATATCCTACCTCCCATCCTAAATATAGGCCAAACCTACAGCAACTCAACGTGGCAAATGAAGACAAAGACACCCCGGGACATGGTATCTGAGTCCATGTTTTCGATTCTAGCGTTCATGTCATTTGTCCTAAAGGACATTCAGGCCCATTTCCTCTGAGTATTGAGTTCAAGTTTGAAAAAATAGAAAGCAAAGAAGAAAGTGAAGAAGAAAGGAAGGAAGGATGGAGGTAACAGGGGAGGGTGGGGGTTATTGAGGGGACAGGGAGTGTGGTAGGGAGGGAGGGAGAAAACTGACCAGTGGAAAGATCAGCTGAAATCAGTCCATCAGAATTCAGTGTGAGATGACTGATGTCACCACAGAGACCAAACACGTTCGCAGTCAGAAGAAGGGGTGTCTGCATGAGGGCGACTCCATCAGGCTGGTGCCATGAGGAAAGCTTCACCTTGTGAACAGTCGGCCACAGAGTCCCTGATGTGGTGATTTGTGTGAATATTTAATCATCACTTGTAACTTTCAAAGCATCTTCCAGACAAACCACTTGTGCCTTTCATGACAAACCTTTGATTTTCTTTCTTTGCAGAAAAAATCAAGGATCTCTTTCCCGAAGACTCTGTTGGTGCATTGACCGTTCTGGTTCTGGTGAACGCAGTCTATTTCAAAGGGAAGTGGCACAAGGAATTTAAGAAAGAAAATACTGGGGAGGAAAAATTTTGGCTGAACAAGGTATTGTCTATAAATTATGTATATAACATAACATAGCTACACATTCAGTGTGAAATTTAAATATCTAGTGATTAATATATAGCTGCTGTGGGTAGAATATAGAATTTGTCAAGGCTTATTTTCTTGTCTTTTTTTTTTTAACTTTATTTGGTTGGAATTCCTTGAAGAAACTCTTGTCTCTAATTCACAGATTTCTGAGATCATCTCTTAGAAGGAGGATGTATTTGGTATTACAATAATATTATCTTTCTTTTTGACTTATGCTCACTTAGCACTTTTTTGCCACGTGAATTTATTGCAGGATACAAGCAAATCTGTGCAGATGATGAAACAAACTGACCTTTTCAATTTCACGTCACTGGAGGACATGCAAGTCAAGATCCTGGAAATACCGTACAAAGACCAAGAGCTAAGCATGTTGCTGCTGCTGCCCAATGAAGTGGATGGTCTGCAGAAGGTAAAAGCTGGCGCCTCCAATGCTGCCTACTATTGCTTAAATTCCTAGTGAGACACTGCTCTATGGACTGCTCACAGACTGGTGCTAGTGGCTGGCAGAGCTCAAGCACACAACAAAACAATAAAATCAGTACCTTAGGTATCACAGTACGATACGAATAGTGTATCTGTACATCACAGGTCACATTAATATTCTGATGAAACTATGGAATGTCAGTTCACAAAAAATATATACCTAGATACACACATAACTATTTTGCAACCATACGAACCTCTGATATATTCCAGTCCACTCATTTGAAGACAAGGAGATTAACACTCATACATAGGTGACACATAGAAATATTTGCAAGTTCATTCACAAGTAAAATAAGGAAATTAAAAAAACAAAGCGGTTACATATTGCCCACTAATTCACAGTGCGCTCTTGTAGACGGTGGACAGATAGATTTATCTTGATGCCCACTTTTTAATTTTGAAGTATTTGGTCCCTAAGTGCTCAAAATGGACCAAAGGCTCATTCAGAGCCCCATTGCTAAGATTTCAAGAAAGGGGGGGATTAGAGAATTTTCCTGTTAGCATTGTTATAATAAAGTTAATATGTAAAAATATCAATAACAATATCTGGCATAAAAGGACATTCCATAAAAGGCCATGAGCAATTACTATAATAGTCGATGATGATGTGGAAGCGGCAGTAAACTTGCCACACTCAAAATACATATCTCGTAACACTGGAAACTGGACATCCTTAGGGAAAGCAATATGGCAATAAGTGTGAAGAGTCATCAGAATATTTCTGCTTCAGCTCTAAATTCCACATTATCAGTGATATTGGGAACCTCAGTCCTAGGACTTTATCCCATAACAACAAGTCTAAACAAGGGAAAAGCTTTTGGACAGAAGTGGCTCAAAATAATGAAAAATTTTAAATGAGGAAAAATGGTACATGTGTGTATTACCTTAGGTTAGGTTAGGGACTGACATGCAGTGAATGCTTAAAAGATATTAAGTAAAGATATATATACTGAATATCAATTTAATGGTAGTATTGTGTAACGATGTAAACTTGATTAGAGAAACATATATCTATACAGGAAAAGTTTACAAATAAATGAAGCAAGAAAAAGGAATAAAAGTAGGCTATACGCTGTAAATGCACTATGTAAAAGTTTATGGACGAAAGAACATTGACAAGAGGTTATTTGAAAGTGAAGCATGAAATAGAGAACGAGCCTAAGAAGTGGGTAGCTCACCTTCTACAAATAATTTTATTTAACCATTCTGTTTCATATATGTGTGCATATATATATCCATTTGTATAGATATTTATACATATGCATATATTATTAATGTGTACATATATACATAAAAATGGCAAAGCCATGAAAATATAAGAACATTTATTTGATTATATAATATATATTCAGGACTCTGTTATTTTTACCTCCTCAGATAAAACCCTATCAACTGAATCTCCTGTATTTATGTTTACTGTTAAAGGATTTCCACGTTTCAATCCAATGTTTAAGGGCGGGGGGGCTCCGTGTCCACTGACAACCTTGCCAGTTGCTCCTTTTTTCATTGTTATAGCTTGAAGATCAACTCACTGCTGAGAAGTTAATAGAGTGGACGAGCCCACAGAATATGAACCAGAGTGCAATGGAGTTACACCTACCTCGGTTCAAAGTGGATGAGACCTATGACCTCAAGCCCATGCTGAGAGCCCTGGGGATGGTGGACGCCTTCAGTGAGGGGAAAGCCGACTTCTCAGGCATGAGCAGGGAACAAGATCTGGTGGTATCGAAAGCCCTCCACAAGTCCTTCGTGGATGTGAATGAAGAGGGTACAGAGGCTGCAGTTTCGACTGGAATAGAAATTAGTATAAGACTAACACTACAGGCAGACAGTTTCCACTGTGACCACCCTTTCCTGTTCCTCATCAAGCACAACAAGACCAACAGCCTCCTCTTCTATGGCAGAGTCTCTTCCCCTGAGGTGTGATTAGCCAGTGGCTACACTCGGGGCACATTCACAGAGCTGTTCCTGAGCTTGATTGCTGCAAGTAACAGGTTGTCTTTGATTCATTTTCCTTTCCAAACTCATAATCATCACTAAGCATGTGTTGGTTGAAATACCATGTCTGTCTGTCTCTCTTTTTCTACAAACCCATGTAAACCTACTGTATCTCCCCATGGTAACTCCCATGTGGACAAAATGTTCAAGATATAATAAAAGGATATTTCAACACTCTATCTTCACCTGAATTTGAAATAACATAGCTGCTGTTTCGAACATCGTATCTACTATTCAAACCTACTCACCTAGACACCCACATTTATTTGAATTTAAGTGATCTGTGGAACTCTTACATGGCAAAAATTTTTCCTCTTATAAAATACATTATCAATAATACAGTACTTATTCATGCTACTTGTTGCTTTTCCTTTCTTGCTTTCTTTCTTTTCAACAAAGTGCAAGTGGCCTGCCACACATAGGAGAGATTATTCGGAAATATAATAATTTATAAAAAGAAAAATTCAAAACAAGTGTAGAGCATGATGAGGCTGAAGAGGTAGACTGGTACCAGAACATGAAAGGCTTTGAGTCCATGTTAGGAACTTTGTATTTTATCTCTAAATAAATGAAAAGACATTGTAGGTTTGTAACGAAAGTGGGGCCCGGCTGCTCACTGCTCAAAATCCAATAGAGAGGCCAGGTTGGTGGAAAGGAAAGTTTGCTTTATTTTGGATGCTGGCAACCAGGGGGGGAGGGCAGACCCCTGTCCAAAGGCCGACTCCCGCCCTGACAATCAGGGGGCAAGAGCTTTTATACCCAGAGGGAGGGGGCTCCATGCAGAAACAGCTCTGATGACAGGCAGCTCTGACAGTCATCGTGAAACTGGTCATGAGGTGGTCTGACCTGTGTCATCTTGATTGTTTTAAGTACAGTTAGTCTTCAGTTCCAGGGTTGGTTTTTTCCCATTTCCTTGAGGCCAGTTCTCAGAATTGTGGCAGCTTATGTCATGGCTACAGTCCGGTCACCATGTAGTTAATTTCTTCCACCCGGTGTGGGTTTCAGTATCTACAATACAGCTCACAGGATATGGCTCAGAATATTATCTACAGCCCTTGAGAAGGAAATAAAAGTCCTTGACTTTGCTTAATGACTAAATTACTATCATTTGGTCTCCTTTGTTTTCCTTTGTTTCTGCATTTTCTCACTTCTCTAATTAAACTTATTCTTTGGCTAAAGTTATTTCCACAGAGAAAAAGCAGGCTGAGGACATGGGGGGAAGGACCATAGGGTCCTGCTTCATTTCAGGTTTTGTTTGTTTTCCAAAGGGGGGATAGAGATCATATCTGCCACTTTAAAATATGTATCTGGTTATTATGATGTAAATGGGTGAGAGGAAAGAACAGCATGGATATAGTGAAATTACTAGTAAACCATTAGAATGTCAAGAGTGGAACTGAGATAAATATTTGGGGAGTAAAATTTGCCACTCCAAAATGTGTCTTTTTGGCGTGAGGATTAATTTAGGCTAATAATTTTTAAGAAACAGAGGACCCAGGAAGACCCAGGAAGTCTTTCTTTTTATCTCCCACTTAGCTGCCTAAAGAGTTTAGATTAAGGGCCTGTTCCCACAAGAGAGCTATCACCAGGGATACCTGCAGAGAATATGGGCAAGAGGTGGTGGGGAAGCTCGGCAGGGCCTGGAGATCAGTCCCCTCTGTGCCCATAGTCTCCGCCTGGCCCAGCAAACATGTTACCAAACATTTGCTTTTCCATCTCCATGTCAGTTGCATTTTTGAAGTCCCAAACCATTACACCCAACATCCTCTTTTGTCTTCTCTGACGATGGTATTTAAGGTGAGGTTTGGGGCCATTTTGGCAAGTTTCTCAGTCTTCCTGGGTCTCTCCCGTGTGTGGTGGGATAAAGTTTCTTCCTCCCTCACAGATAGTTATGTGTGATAATTGTTTAGGAACTAAAATTCATAGAATTTTTGTAACACATTATATATGGCAGAAATGAAAGAGAGAACCCGAGACCTATGATGAAGTTTCTGGCCTAACCAACTGGTTGGATGGAAGGAGATTTCGATTTGGAGAGAAGAGATGATCCCCGGCTTAAGTTTGCATTTTGTAAAATTCCTTTTGAGACACATCCAAATGGAGTTGTCTAGTAAGCACTTGAATCCATGAGTCATGAGCTCATCTGCAGAATATGCTCTGGAGCTTGAAATTTGTTATGCTTGTTGGGGAAGGAAAAAACTTTCCTCTACGCTCTATGTTCTTCTGGCTGTTCTAAGAATTAAGTTGACAGAGACAGCTTAGCAGGAGAAAATCCAATATAATTACATACATATGGGGACCCCATAGGAAAAATGAGACTCGAGGACAAATTAGCCAATTGAGGCTTATATGGCATCTGAGAGAAGGAAAAGCATGTAGGGGGCTGGGACTTCAAAGGGGAGGGAAAGATTTACAGGAAGATAGGGAAAAACAAATGCTTGGTAAACAAAAGTTTGCCATGCTATACACAGACAATGGGACAGAGAGAAGGCTTTGATCAAAAGGGCCTTGCTAAAAGGGAACGCTCTTGCACTGTTGGTGGGAATGTAAATTGATACAGCCACTGTGGAGAACAGTATGGAGGTTCCTTAAAAAACTACAAATAGAACTACCATATGACCCAGCAATCCCACTACTGGGCATATACCCTGAGAAAACCATAATTTAAAAAGAGTCATGTACCAAAATGTTCATTGCAGCTCTATTTACAATAGCCAGGAGATGGAAACAACCTAAGTGTCCATCATCGGATGAATGGATAAAGAAGATGTGGCACATATATACAATGGAATATTACTCAGCCATAAAAAGAAACGAAATTGAGCTATTTGTAATGAGATGGATAGACCTAGAGTCTGTCATACAGAGTGAAGTAAGTCAGAAAGAGAAAGACAAATACCGTATGCTAATGATCTCGGTGCTTTGTGACCACCTAGAGGGGTGGGATAAGGAGGGTGGGAGGGCGGGGACATGGGGATATATGTATACATATAGCTGATTCACTTTGTTATACAGCAGAAACTAACACACCATTGTAAAGCAATTATACTCCAGTAAAGATATAAAGAAAAAAGGGCCTTGTTTCCCCTCACGTCCCACCCCTGTCTACCATACCTGACTCATATTCATTGTACTTGACTCTGACTATAGGTCTCTTCCCAGGATTGGCCCCCTATCTAAATGCTTTTGGCAGTTAAGGGGGAGGATGTAAAAGCTCTTCCTGAGACTTCTGTTGCCTAAAAAAAAAAAAAAAAAGTAAAATAATTTGTTCTCCCCTACTTGCTCAACAGAAAATTTCCCAGTCCCAGGGGGACTTCCCTGGTGGTCCAGTGGTTAGGACTCCGTGCTTCCACTGCAGGGGGAATGGGTCTGATCCCTGGTCAGGGAAATAAGACCCTGCATGCCACGCAGCCACAAAGAAAAAAAGAAAACAAAAGTTTACTATATTTATTCAGTAACCCTAAAATTTTGTTTTGTTTTTTTTTTAAACGGGTAGCTAAAGGCAGGAATGAGACCCTAGGGAGAGGGTGTAAAGTGATAAGAAAGGAGGGCCTAGAACCGACCTTGAAGTTCATCAATATATAAAGGTCAGGTATGGACAATTTTTATTTTCTAAACATAGCTTTTCTTAGGGAACTGTACTCATTCCAAATCCTTCCCAGTCAGTACTTAATCCCAGCTGATTTCATAAACCATGAATTTTGGAGGATGTGAGCAAAGTTAAAATTTTCCTCAGCCAAACTTAGCAACCCAGGAACACAGCAGAGGAAGTAGATGTTTCACCATTAAGTGTGAGACTTGGTCAAGGGAATTGACAGACTGGCCAGAGAGTGGGTCACATGAGTAAGTGATGCAGTGAACGGGTGGGAAGGGAAGGCAAGACAGGGGACCGTTGCCTTGGTGAACAGGGAAGCATTGGGGTACTTAATGAGGTTGAAGCAAAGAAATGATGGGAATGAGTTTCTGAGAAATATGAGAGGATCAAAATTTGGCCCAGGACCTGGGATTTTTTCCTGTACATTAAAATGGAAAATTGTAGGTAATAAATAAGATCAGAGTGCCATCACATGTCTGAATTAATTGCTAATGATTCAATGAACTTGAAACTGGTGCAGAGTTGTTTGGATGTTTTTTTTGGGGGGGGGCTTTTGAAGAATTGTTGGTTAGAATGCCTTTAGACCACACCTTTCAACTACTTGTAATTTTAGTTGGGTTTTCCAAAGGAATTTTATAAATGCAAGCAAGTAAGACAAAGGCTCATAGGCATTTGAATCATATCAGGTAGAGGGCATGGTAGACATCTATGAGATCTGAAAAGCTTTGCCTATATTCTAGGCCAACTAGAAGGTAGAGAACCTACTGCCTTGCCTAGTGGCCACATGTAAGAGAAATTGAAGGGAAATTCAACACCTGTATCTTTATTTATTTATTTGTTTTTTGCGGTACGCGGGGCTCTCACTGTTGCGGCCTCTCCCGTTGCGGAGCACAGGCTCCGGACGCGCAGGATCAGCGGCCATGGCTCACGGGCCCAGCCGCTCCGCGGCATGTGGGATCCTCCCAGACCAGGGCACGAACCTGTGTCCCCTGCATCGGCAGGCGGACTCTCAACCACTGCGCCACCAGGGAAGCCCCTGTATCTTTATTTTTAAAGTCATAGATTATAATGCATTGAATTAAACAGAATACAATGAGGCCATACTGATACAAAATAAATAGATGACTAAATTTAAAGTTTTATACTGAATGGATGTTTACCTGCTAATCAAAGTTCCTCCCCACAGGGTACCATTTCACATCTATTAAAGTAAAGAACTGGCCATATCAAATTTTGGAGAGAATGTGAAGCAACGAAAACTCTCATACACTGCTGGTGAGAATACAAGAAGGTGTAACCACTTCTGAAATCAGTTTGGTAATTTCTTATAAAA